TTATGCTTATTACAAAGCACACGAAACAAGAAATGAAGACCAAAGAGCTTTTTTCTACTGATTTTTTCAAATTACATGTTAGAAAAAAAAGTGAGACAGTGAAAAATAAAAAATGACAAGGTTTTAAGCTTCATCATCCTTTCTATTTTTTTTCCCATAATCTTTTTTCCTTTTTAATTCCTCACTCATTCTACCCATTTCTCAGTCTTTTAAGTGCACAGGATGTTATGAGCAGCAAAGCCCAGAGGACGGATTTTGGTTATTAAATCTGAAAAGAATCTAAAGCAACTATAGCAATTAGTAGTCAATAAAATACTTTCAACTAAATGAAATTAATCTCGGTACCATTCCATATAGAAAATCTTGCCTAAGGCAAACTTTCCTGATAGAAATGCTACAATCTTCACGTCAGTCCTGACTTTAATGCCACAATTTGTATTAAAGAAAGCATTATTCACATAAGGCAAGGTAAGACTGAATTACATCACAGTGATTAATTTGCTTGTGGGGTAAAGCTGAATTCAAAAAATCTATGAAACTAAATATGTGGAAATGATAGAAGGAAATGTCAGTAATTAGGGCGAAGGTTCTTCTCTAATTAGCTGCAATGCATCATTAAGTTCTATTGTACTAGCAACTGAAGAAAATCTCACTGTTTTAGAACTAACAAGAGAAGCATTAGAACAAAGAAATTTGACTTAGTATATTTCAATCTTTTTCAGTATATACTCATAGTTAAATCTGATAACAACCAACATTAATAAAATATCTGAAATAGACTATCAACAAAATGTGAGATAAGAAACATAGTAAGACAAAGAATTTGGCTTACTGAGGAAGTAGAATAGAGGTCTCTGACATCAAATACAGGATAATTGTTAAAATTCAGATGCTGTTTACTAAAGCTACATCCTCAAATACATTCATATTGCTAAGATTGTGAATTACAAAATTTATTTGATTACTACCATCACTCTTTCATTTCCTTTTTTCCACCCTTGTATTTTAACAAGCTCAATTTTATTCTTATTCTCAAAAAAGCCTGCAGTGCACACAAATATGTGATGATAGATAGATAGATAGATAGATAGATAGAAAGCTTTATTATGAAAGCCATATAAACTCAAAAGTTGCTGTGCCTAGAATATACTATAAAGGGACAGACCAGTTATTTGGCTATACAATAACCCAGGTAGAACATGACAGTGACCTGAACGAGGAGATGGCGATGGAGTGGTGAGAATTGGCAATGGAGCCAGCAGGATTTGGTGGAGGTTTTAATGTAGAGAGGTCTATCTAAGCAACTGAGGGGTGGAGTTTCCATTAACTTCATTAGGGAAGAATATCCGTGGAGCAGGTTTTTGGGAGATGATGAGTTCAGCTCTGGACAGCCTTTTTTTTTTTTTTTTTAAGATTTTATTTATTTATTTGACAGAGAGAGTGAAAGAGCACAAGCAGGGGGAGCAGCAGAGGGAGAGGAAGAAGCAGGACCCCTTCCGAGCAGGGAGCCTGATACAGGACTCGATTCCAAGATCCTGGGATTATGACCCGAGCCGAAGGCAGATGCTTAACCATCTGAGCCACCCAGTTCTGGACAGCTTCACTGGATGTGAGCAGGCAGTTGGATAGGGGAGTCTGTAGTTCAAGAACAGATCCAAATGAGTGTGTAGATTTGGGCACTGTTAGCATACATTTTTTAAAGTCATAAGATTGTATGATATCACTAAAGGAGAGAATATGAACAGAAAAGGGAAGAGGCACAAGGACTTAGCTCTAGAATACACCCCAGTTTAAGATATTATCTTGATCAAACTGCCTTCAAGAAATGCCACACCAAATTACACACAAACCATAATTTTATGATAGTGTCAGTCACTATAGCTTTTGCTAAGAGTGGGCATTATCTTTGTCCATTTGACATATTAAAAATGGTCTCTTGCTGTTTCAATATTTATTTATTACAAGTTAAAATAATATTTATATATGTTTAGTACTAATTTGTATTTTTGTATATTTATATAAATTAACTATGTACTTAGCTCATTTTTCTCAGGTATTCTAATTCTTATTCATTTACAAAATCACTTTACATATTAAGGTATTAACCTTTCACTTGGCGATATTTGTTGCAAATACTCTATCTCATTTTCATTTTCATGGTTTTTGGTGTGAAAGATTTTACATTTTTTAGCCAAATCTATTTATCGGTTACTTTGTTATGTATTCCATTGCTTTAATATGTACAAAGATAAAGTAAACATGGTCACGTATTTTCTTTTTATTAGTTTATGGTTTCTTATTTTTTACATTTAACTCAGTCCATCTGACATTTATGTTAGGCCACATGGGAAACCCTCATTAAATATTTTCTGAAATTTTTAGCTCATTTTATAATTATATGAAATAATATATCAATTCCTTCTTTGTGATATACCCTTTAACTTACATTCAGTTCTTATCTATAGTAATATCTAGTTCTGAGATGTTTATTCCCACTCTTTGCTCTGGCTAATAATTCTTGGGTCTATACTTCGATACTTTATTACCATATTTTAAAGTTATATGTACACTATGTAGTCAAATTACTGAATGCCTAACAAGAATGTGGCTCTTCTGCTCTGGCTGGAGTTTCTCTACTAAACCAAAAAGTTGAACGACAATTTTTGTTTTCTCTTTGTTCAGTAGAGCATATGGCGTGCTAAAAATGCATTTTTTAACGTTTTTATTTAAATTCCAGTTAGTTAACATACAGTGTAATATTAGTTTCAGGTGTACAATGTAGTGACTCAACACTTCCATACAACACCCAGAGCTGCTCATAGCAAGTGCGCTCCTTAATCCCCACCACCTGTTTCACCCATCCCCCACCCCCCTCCCCTCTGGTAACCATTGGTTTGTTCTCTATAGTTCAGAGTCTGTTTCTGTAAGAATGCGTTTTTAAATTCATCCTCATTGACTATACAATCCAAGAGAATCTCCTATAACTCTGTCCCAGGCCCAGACTTTGGCGTATATCCCTTCATTTACAGTTCTGTTACAGCTAGTTCTCACACATTTGGGTGGGGATTTTCTTAATAGACTGGGAGAAATCAGTACAGGCATGGAGAGTTTGCTGCCACATTAAATTAAACTTTAGATAGGATTTATACATGCACAACAAACCTTTCATATTTGCCAGTTATTTAACTCTGCTTCCCCCTTTAGTAAAAAACTACTCTTTCTGGATTCCCCTTTCAGTTAGGAGGCACATCTGTGATTTTTTTTCTTATCCAAAAGCCAATCCACTTTAATATTTTGAATTATTTCTTTAAGAATCTTTTCATTTGAACTGACATTTTATTTTACCTTTAATATTAGCTTTCCAATCTTTTTTTCCTATTACTCCACTTTCTGTGGATACTCTACTGATCAGAAGTACATTCCTGTGACTACAAATAATGAACAAGCAAACCAAAAAAACAAAACAAAACAAACACCAAAAACAAAAACAAAAACAAAAAAATGTGGTAAATACTAGGAACCCAGAAACTGTTTCCTGGTACACTGGCATGTGGTGTGTCTGGAAGTGCACACGGCATGTAGCAGTTTCACTGAATGTGGACCTCAAAGAACATCATGCATTTGACGTCTTAAACACTGAGTCTCACCTGTATCCCTGCGGAGGATTCTCTTCCTTCTCTGGATACCCTCCCTATAACCATATATTGTTTGGCTCAGGCATATATAAACCAAATTCCACAGAATGTAGCTTGTCCTTTCCCCATCTGTAGTCAGACATTCCATTTTAATGGCCATTTAACTAGAAAATTAACACTGCAGCTTGTAAGATGTTGAAAGAGGGAGAAATCTCACCCTCTTTCATGATTCCTCGAATAATTGCTCCCCCCCTCTTCCCGCCCCCCCCCCCAAGTATCTCATCTGCACTTCCTGTGAAGGCCTCCCTCCCTCAACTCTTCCATGTCTGACCCCTAAACATCCCCTCAACCATCTGCTCCTAACAACAGCTGCTGTGGCTTAAAATTACCTCAATGAAATTCCTCCGACTGAATATCTACTTTGCTCATTTGCTCTTTCCCTTTGACAATGAAAGGTGCTTATTGAGCAGACCTTTCAGAAAAACTCCAAGCCAACATCATATGATTAAAAGAACAAATCGAATTTGTGGGAAATGGGAAGGAAAGTAATATACTATCTGATTATCATGTCAAAATTCAGTATCTAAAAATAATCGTCTCCCGTGATGCTTATAAAGAAAAAGAGCTCAAGATGGGTTTTCTCTAAAACTCGTGTGCAGGCCCCACTTGTCATCCCCCATATTGGATGTAAATCAGCTGGGTGTAGGAAGTGAGAATTTATTTATTTTTAATTTGGTTTTGTTTATTTTAAGGAGGATTTTGGGTCCTTTTTAATATAAGAGAGATGGGAAAAATTAGAAGAGGTTTCATGAAAAGACAAGGAAGACATTAGAGATGTCAGATGAATGGGGAGGTGGTATCCACTTTATAGATTTGTGTAAGGAAAAGAGGAAAATGAAGAATTGTATGTTCTCCATAAACACGTGTGAGAGAGGGGAGAGATTTAAGTGGAGGACAGCATAGAAGACATATCACTTTTTTCCTTTATAAGCAAGAAAGTTTCTTTCTAAATTTTCAATGGGCAAAAAGTCAAAGAAGAAATCAAGAATAAAACTGACCAGGGAGATGGTAGCACTGTTAGCTTTAGAGGAATGCAGCAAATTATTCTGATTGGCAATGAGTGTTTTAGGGAAATGGAGCAATTAGTTGTTTTCAGAAACCACAATTTCTAAATTGATGATTAATGGTTGAGTGCTTTGCACCTTCTAAGCACTCAATACGTACTACGATTGACTGATATGTCACTTACGAAAAACAAAGTAACACAAAGCAATTATACAAGCAATACATGAGTGGGAGAGCTACAGGCATCTGAAGATCCTATTGAAATGGAAAATAAATAACAACAACAATAATATCCCATACCTTCTCTGTGTCAATGCCTTTTGACATGGACCATGTTGAGACAATATAATCCATGACTCGTTCACTAAGGCCTTTGGGGACCTGATAGAGTTTCAGAAAGTCCCGCACATTATTCAGCATCTCATGGTATCGGTTGGTGTTGGCATACATTTGCTGGAAAATTGTAGTAACATTTCCAAAAATAGTTGCATAAAGAAGAGCTGAAAGAGAAGAAATAGTGAAAATAAAACAAATATCCCAAGTGAAAAATAAATATGAATATTTATTAATCAATGAATCATTTGACAGAGATGTCTTTATAAACTTTTAGAGATTAATGCATGTTAACCCCTGAGAAGAGTGCCTGGAATTTGGTATTCACTCGGTAATTGTTACCTTCAGTCTGAGAAACATGACTTCATGAGCCTGTGCCATCCTAGTCAATGTGGCAAACATGAGACGGGCTAATCAACTTCCTGAAGAATTAGATAAGGCAGAGTTATAATTTGCCTACGGAATTCTAGCCTTATGACTAAAGACATCCGGCTGTCTTGTCCTCCTGAATGAAGCCTAATCAATTTAAATTTTCCAGGGATTGATGATCCAGTTTAGAAATGTATGCTCTTTTTCAGCTTGTTTCTCTCAGCTTTTTGGAATACTTCTCTGCTAATAAATATTTTTAACAGAACATCAGAAATATAGGGAGTTTACAGAGTTCCATTTTTTAAATAGGGAAATAGGATTGGAATAAATAGCTAAATTAAAACTTTGCAAGTGCTTGAAAATTCCAGTTATTAAACTCATGTTTAGTATCAGGTTTAAGGACACCTGAGCGGCTCAGGTCATGATCCTGGGCTCCTGGGATCGAGCCCCACATCAGGCCCTCTGCTCAGCAGACTCACTGCTGTGCCTCTGCACCTGTACCTTCCCCCCACCCACTGATGCTCTCTCTCTGTCTCAAATAAATAGAAAAAATCTTTAAAATAATAATATCATGTTTAATCCCAGCATTGTAAGGTTTTTGACTCCATCATTTTAATTAAAAGTAAAGCCAACTTGCAGACCACTGTTATTTATCATCAGAGCCCTATGAATGCAGAGGGCCCCTCCCTCGACCCATAATTCACCAACTCTTCTCTCTCCAGATGTGGTCAGGCTACTAATCTTAACCTCATCTTGTAAAAACTTTTAAGAACAATTGAGTTCAGCCCAGACTCAACATGTGTCCAAACCCACCCACCCCACCCTATCCTGTGCCTTTTCCATTCCTTGCTTAGCAGTAAACTCTTTTGGAAAAGGGGCAATACTTTATTCCCCTTAATATTCATAAACACAGCATTTAGCAACCATGTACATTCCATAAGCATTTCACAAATAAGTGTAGTATCACCAGTGGCCACTTCCTTTCTCCATCCTCCAAGCATTTGAAAACTGACTCCTCTAAACTGAGTACGGTTTCATTTTGTAGCTTCATCAGCCAAATTCTGTTTGATGATAGTGGTATAAAATCAAGCTAGTAAAGCAACTTAACCTTAACCTGTTTTCAGAAATCATTCATTTTTTAAGAACAGTTGTTCTCTGAACACAACAAATTATAAATTCACAACAGAAAGCTGTGGTTTTATAAGCATTTACTCAGTTTGTTTGTTTGTTTGTTTTTTGCTGTTATTTAGGCATTTTGATGCCAGTTCAGAACAATTTTTAAGACCGAGGGTATTTTGTTAAAACTGAGTAGGAACAAGGCAACGTCCTTGGGTCCCCTCCGTCTTCGGGAGCTTTGTACTATCACTTTACTATCGCTCAATAAACCTTGCTTTGCTAAAAAACAAACAAACAAAAACAAAATTGACTAGGAACCGTATAGAGCTGACATTTCTCAACTGGGAATTAATTAATTAATTTGTTTGTTTGTTTGTTTATTCATTTATTTCCAGTGTAGTTAACATACATTATATTACTTTCAGGTGAACAATATAGTGATTCAACAATTCTACACATTACTTGGTGCTCATCCAGATAACTGTTTAAAACAGCTTCTCCTGTTCACCCATCCCCCCCACCCACTGCCTCTCTAGTAACCATCAGTTTGTTTCTTCTCTACAGTTCAAAGTCTGTTTTTTGGTTTGTCTCTTTTTTTTCTTTGTTCATTTGTTTTGTTTCCCAAATTCCACATCTGAGTGAAATCATACGGTATTTGTCTTTCTCTGACTGACTTATTTTACTTAGCCTTATACCCTCGAGGTCCATCCATGTTGTTGCCAATGGCAAGATGGGTCTTTAAATCTTTGAATATTTATATTTAAAAAGAAAAACAAAAAAAGTAGGTAATCACAGATTTAATATCTCCATTCCATCATTGTTGGTATCAGGAAAGACAAAGAAATGTAAACAAATTAATGGTAGATGAGTCATATATCAAAATATGGAAGTTTTCATTTTCAGAAAAGAGAAATAAAGAGAATTTATGTCTTTAAAATAATGAACATTTCAGAAGTTAATGAAATAATGCTATAATCATTTTTTTGAATAGTGTTCAGCTATTATAGGTTGTCAATAAATATCACAGAGCCACCTATTATTTTGACATGTTCAGCTTGTTTGGCTCCCTAAAATGCTTGCAATATGCTATACTTGCCAAAGTGTCTTACTACTGCATTTTAGTTTAACAAATTACCACACATTTCATCTTTTGGGGTACATTAAATATGCACACATTCTGCTCATATAAAAAGTTTAAGCACTAAAACATGAATAAAACTGCCAAAGTATTAAAAGTGTGCAGCATTAATAAATGAAGAATATAATCAACATCCCATTAAGTTTGGCATATTACAAAGATAACCACTCTGCTTTCCATTTTCTCGGGAGTGTGCTGGCTTACATTGGGTAGGACTAAACAAGGTCAGAATTTAAGATAAGACATTTAATTAGGTGTATTTACATGAGAAAAAAATTTTTTTACTTTGAAATAAGTTGCAAAAAATGTGCAGAAAGTTTACATGTACCTACACGCAGCTTCTCACAGTGATGACATCTTACACAACTAAAGTCATTTATCAACACCAGAAAATTGAAAATGGCACAATACAATTAACAACACTATAGATCTTACTCATATTTCACCATTGTTTTATACACACTCATTTTTTGATATAGAATTTTATAAAATCTTATCACATATATAGATCTGTGTAATACAAAAGAGAAACTACTTCTTCCTTTTCTCAATGCTTGGGCCTAGCATACATTTCAAAAACCATAGTAAGAGCAAGCAACAATGTCCCATAGCAAGCCAGAACACTGCGTCCCGCCACGGTCTGTGTTCCCAGGATAAATGCTCACATCTCTGTGTTATGTGCATTTGCCAAAATGTCTGGTTTTTTAAGTAGGCTCCATACCCAGTGTGGAGCCCAATGTGGGGCCCAAACTCACAACCCTGAGATCAAGACCTGAGCTGAGATCAAATGTCGGATGCTTAACCCACTGAGCCACCCAGGCACCTCCCAAAATGTCTATTTTTATAACCCTTATATTTGACAACAATGTGGCTATCATCAACTAATCTTTTCTTTTTTATTTAATAGTACTTTTCTAATCCCTTGGAGAACGGTGGTCCTCCCTGTCATTCTGCTGTATTTCAGGGGTCTTGTCGTCTATGCTCCCTACTGTATTTCTAGAACACAGACCAGGCTCTGGAACATAGTAAGTGTTCAAATATTTTTTTCCAGTATATTCTCACACCAAAAACCTAAGAAACGGTTTTTCAGAAACATCCTTTTTGCTAATAAAAGTCTCACTACTGGTGATAAAATAACACAGAAGGAATACACATTACTAACGTGAGTAGGAGAATAAAATATTTAGAAGCTAAGGTGACACGTGCCCTGGCTATATTAAGATAATAAATAATTTGGGAAGGCCCATTATCATTCATCAAACATGAATGCCTGTGCTTGGCCTGGCCAGTTTTATAGAGGCCTGTTACATAATTTTACCCTTTGAATGCAATGCTACATAATCAATTCACCTACTTTACTAATAATAATTTGGCTAATTTATTAAAATTTGATAAGCCTTTTTTATATGCAATCCCATAGCCTTTTAGGCTCAAGATAATTTTAGACAAGTCAAGCTTATCATAGTTAAAGTCTTGGTAATTCTGGCATACAGTTAGGTAATAATCTTATCTAAAAAGTCTTATATTTTCTTATTCACACAAAGAAATTATTTTGAAGATAATTATGTTAGATTGAAGATGGCCACAAGTCTCTGACACCTCTTCCATTGACAAGCAGGGTCTACCCCCTTCCCCTTGAATCCAGGCATACTCTATGACTGACTGATAGAATACAGTTACTATGCTCCTATGTCAGTATCTGGGCCCCGGCCTTAAGAAACTAGAAACTTCAAATTCTTTGCTGTTGGAACACTTGCTCTTGGAATGTAGTTTCCAAGTTGTGAGGGATCCCAGGCATTCTTCTAGAGAGGCCTACACGAAGAGCAATCAAGACACCTAGCCAATAGCCATAGCTGAACTCCCAGCTAAGCACTGGCCTTAAACTGAACAATTTAAAATATTGATAATGAGAAGACACTTCTGGTAACATTTAAGGCTATACAGGTGATTCGATAATATCTTTCCTTTCTATTTCCATTTAATAATGATAGTTAAGACATGAAGGAGGACAGTCTGGGTGGCTAGTCAGTTAAGTGTCTGACTCTTGATTTCAGCTCAGGTCATGATCTCAGGGTCATGAGATTGAGCCCCACATCACGCTTCATGCTGACTGCTTGGGATTCTCTCTTTCCCTCCGCCTCTGCCCCATTCCCCTGCACATGCGCAGACACATGCTCTCTCTCTCAAAATAAATAAATAAAATCTTTTTTAAAAATTATAAAAAATACGAAGGAAAATGTTCCATCAATCCATAACTATGTGTGGGGCGCCTGGGTGGCTCAGTCGTTAAGCATCTGCCTTCGGCTCAGGTCATGATCCAGGATCCTGGGATCGAGCTCCACATCGGGCTCCCTGCTCAGCGGGGGGGGCCTGCTTCTCTCTCTCCCACTCCCCCTGCTTGTGTTCCCTCTCTCACTATATCTCTCTCTGTCAAATAAATAAAATCTTTTTAAAAAAAATCTACAACTATGTGTGCAACACACAGCTTGGCAACATCAGCTAACCAGCCATGTCTGTGGCTGAGCCAACTAAGTGGATTTTCCA